CCCGCCCCCCCAGTGGCACAGCGGTATATCTGTGGACTTACAACGCTAGAAACCGGGTTTCGATACCCGTGGTGAGCATAGCACAGATAGCCCTTTGTGTAGCTTTGTGCTTAACTACAAACAAAGCTACGGTCATCTTACGAACTTACTAGAAATAACTTATGTCAAAACCTATCGAACTAATTGAAATTACAATTATGTCTAAACTGTCGCATTGTACTGATCAACTAATCATGTAGATAAGGAAAGTAGTTATCGGGCTTGTTGTGCATCATGCCGCCAGAGGACACGTGTGTCGATCTCAGGCAATAGAGGAAGGAAGGAGTAGAGACAATGATGTCATAGACACCAGACGAAATATGTCTTAATTCCACAAAGTATCACCAGAGGGAGCGTTGTTAGGACGCCATGACAGACGGAAGACAGAAAGAGCGTTGCTAGGCGTGACGCCTTAGTTCCACGAAGTGAAACCAGAGGGCGATGGCGCCATGACAGGCGAAAGTTGTCCAGAAACTGTGCTGCTAAGCTACGATATGCCACCTGAGGGCGCGTTGGTACGATGAGCGCTCAGACATGGGATTATTGTAACAAAGTCTTAAATTTAATAACGTTGATTTTGTTTTATAATTAAAAAAATAGCGGACAATGTTACTAAGAATAGTGTTTCTATATTTCAATAGGAGGAGGATTTCATTGTCTCAACATGTGATGAACGTCTATATTTAATTACATGTAAAACTATTATTGATTTAACAAAATAAAAAGTTCTCAACATAATATTTCTTTTTAACACTTTAATATTTTCTCACAATAAAGATTTTGCAATCTGATCTACATAAAAAAGACGTATATAAGGACGTATTTACATGAAAACGTTTCGCAACAAAATCATGAACAAACATATAATTGATATATTTTTGGGATCCAACTTTAGATAACAGTTTTCGTTTTCACACATTTTGACAATGACAATAAGCATAATGCACACAATGTTTTTCACACAGAAATGAATATGATCTTTGTAGTATTTTTTTGTTGTAAGTCTACGTTCGACAATTCTTCTTGTTATTTTTTTTTCGTGGAGATTATATGGAGGGACTTCTAATGGATCAAAATATTCTCCTTTCTCATCTCAACCAAAGTAAATACAGACCCAGTGTTTACCACGTTTATGACTCGGATCCAGATTAACGATGCACAGTGGTTTTTCTGCATGATCAGGTAGTTGATCACTAGTAAACACCCCCCTCAAACTTCTTTTGCGTACACAAATCTTGCAAGAGTATCAAAAAAACGTTATAGTGTCCATAGCTTCTTACATATCAGATATGTTGATTCTAGGCTGATCAGTTTCTAAAATTCACTGGAATTCTGCATAGGCGAGAACAGTTAAAGTGTTAGGTAAAGCTCTACCAAAACGTATTTCAATTCGTAAATTTCCCTGTTTCACCAAGTTAAAATGTGAAACACCCGATCTATCCCCTGTACTTTCAATCATTACTGGCATATTTAGAACAAAAACTTAAAATATTTACATTCATAACTGGTAAAATATTAATTCTACAATTGCATTTCGTTTTCAAATTCCGCCATACTTTCAAGATAAAAACATATCGCTTAATATAAATGTGCGTAAGTCAGATGTTACTCATTTCTTTTCGATATAAAAACTAAACTAGAAAATAAAATGATTATTATTTAAATAATCAAACCCAGTGGAAATGAATAATTTTATTCATATGTACTTTCAAAGCAAACACATTTTCATATTCATAATTGTTAAAAAGTTTCGTTTTCGAATCTCGATCATTTGACGAATTAAACATTGAATGACATAAAAACCTCATAACAGTGTGTGCTTTATTATAAGACATTTAAATAAACATTTATTTCTTTTATGTATTTTACAAATCAGTGAGCGTGTGACAATGTCAGAGAAAGTCGGCAAGAGAAGCTTATCAAGAACTGAAATAGAAAAGAAAAAGGTTGTGATGCTAATGAAAATGATATTGTCAGATCTTTGAGAATTTAACGTCAAATTGAGTGGCAGTGTAAAAGACGGCAAATTAAATTAGTTAGAAAAAACAAAACAATACTTGCTGAACAAAAGGATAAGCAAGAGAAACCAAGGTCAAATGAGGCAAAGCAAGAAAAAGCTGTAAGGCTTGGTGATAAGAGAAAAAGATAGGAGGAGCAAAGGAAAATGAGATTGAGTAAGAAAGAGATCCAAGACTTGCTGGGCAAGAGGCAAGGACAGAAAGAGCAAAGGTAAAATGAGACTGGACAAGAAAGAGCAGTGAAGCTTGCTGTTCAAGGTATGAGACAGCGCCAGTCAAGGTAAAACCAAACAATTAATGTTACCACGTTAAACCAAAAACTAGCTGCACAAAATTAATTCCTACAATTACAACGTCGCCATAAACTTTCAAGCTTATATGATGCTGAGAAATTTTGCTATGCTTATAGATGGAAAGAAGAGAGGCCAGGATTTTGCTGTATCAAACGCACAATATGGCTAGACCAAATACCATCTATTCCAAATGAAATTCTGGAACTGTACCTTAATGGATGAAGATATTGGATTATTCAACAATATGGGAGCCTACAATGTACTTACTCTTGCTTCCATAGGATAGTAAGATTTAATCCTACCTTCGAAATATAGGATAAAATATTTCACTGTCTCAGGTTCTCTCAGACCTCAAGAAGGTCAACAACCAAACTTTGCTCAGATTTACTTCCATGATACTGAACATTAAGCTCAGAAAAGACTTGCACATAATCCACATTTAGATGTTAATACAAATTTCTACACTACAGTACTGTCTGTACAGAGTTAACCCTTCTGTGAAACCGTTCAAATCTACTCAAGTCTTGGCAGATGAGCATCCAAATGTCAGATTGGTCTTAAATGCACAAAAAGCTAACTAACGAGCATGCACAGCGATACAACTTGCTAACAAGTAGTGAGGTTTTTGTCATTGTGTCAGGAAGCAAAACAGATGACTTGGATATGCTTCTGCAAACCAACAATAGCGACATACAGAGAATTAATTCACGACATAAAAGTTATGACCCACTGAATTATATAATTCTATTTCCTCACAGTACTGATGGATTCTCTGAATTTTATCACTATTGACTTCAAGTGCGTGACAATGAAGATAATTATCTCATAAAATCACAGCATCTAACACAGCAGTGTGTAACTTATGTCTATGCCAAGATAAAAAGAGCAGCATCTCAAGTAGGTTAGAAGTCATCAGAATGAAATAACAGCTGAGAAGTACAAAGGACTACTAGATGTGGTAAATTCTGATGATGAAATACATGCAGGGTCAAATGGTATGCTTCCACAAACTATATATGGTTTTCCCAGAAGCTTCTCAAGATGACATATCTATAGCAAGAACATTTGTGAAACCTGATTATTTCATTACTTTTACCTGCAACTGTAAGTGGTTAAAAATCAAATCTTCTCTCTTCTCTAATGAGAAACTTACTGATCGTCCAGACATCTGGGTAAGGGTGTTCAACATAAATCTGGAAGCACTGATTGAAGATTTATGGAAGAATAAAGTTCTGGGCACGACTAGAGAATTCATATGCATGAAAGAAGATCAAAAAAGAGATTTGCCTCATTGCTATATCTTATTCACTATGGCATATGAAGACAAACCAAGAGAGCCATCACATGTTGACAAGGTTGTTTCAGATGAAATTCCTGGCAATTTTACAAATCCAAAACTTTATGACATCATTACCAGATACAACATTCATGGACCATGTGGACCAATCAACACATGCAGCCCATGCATGAAATCAAGTGATGAAAATAATGGCATAAAATCCTATGAGAAGAATTTTCCCAAGGCATTTCACAGATGAAAAGTTATGACAAATGGCACACACCCACAATACAGGAAATGAATCTGTGAAGATGGCGGTGTAAGCCACAAAAGAAAGTATGAGGGAAGTTTCCAGGAAATTTGGTAATGTCACAGACGCTCTCACTGACATCTTCTTCTTTGGCATAACGACCTTAATCCCAAGTGCTCTGGGGTCAGCTGGTATTTTTTAAGCCAAGAAGTTTTACACCAAGTGGCCAACCCAGACGGAAATCAGACAGTACGAGCATGTTCGACCCTCAGATTCCAAGTCGAGCACCGTAACCACCATACAATGTCAGTCCCATGCTCTCTCTGACACGATAGGACGAATTCCTGTGATAAACCTGAATACCACAGTAGTCAGAATTGTACTTCCTTAAAATGAATCCGTATCACAAAGCTGGTGCCACAGCTATGAAGATCTATGTACAGTTGATGAAGTACAACTACCATTCCAGACAGCATTCATGATGATAATGATACAGAAATTGACAATGTATTTATAGAAGTAGTATCCGTGCAGATTAGCTAATAGTTACGAAAGATGTTTACTACTATCATTATATGGGATTCTGGAATAATCACAAGAATTCTTTTTATGAGGACCAAGCATGTCTTGATGGTATGAGAGAACCTTCAGAGCAAATCATCAACGAAGTGTTATTGGAACTTAAAGACTACTTTGAATGAAATTATTATGACATTACTGAACACTTCCAACTACCTAAGCCAGATGTTAACTTCCGTACCCAGCTACCTCCCAGAGAAACCAGAAAAGAAACAGACTATAATATTGATATTCTGAATGATATTGTGCATAAGAACATTCCACGGTTGAATAAAGAACAGCAGGAAGTGTGAAACACAGTCATCGACTCTGTGAATAATCAGAAAGGATAACTCATTATTCTGGATGCATCTAGAGGCATTGGAAAGGCTTTCCTTCTGACAACAATTTTGGATAAAATTCATGCAAGCCAATTTATAGCACTGACTACTGCTACAAGTAGCATAGCTTCAACTTTATTAGCCCCCCAGTGGCACAGCGGTATGTCTGCGGACTTAATCGCTAGAAACCGGGTTTCGATACCTGTGGTGGGCAGAGCACAGATAGCCCTTGTGTAGCTTTTGCATAATTAAAAAACAAACAAACAAAAAACAATCAACTTTATTATCAAATAAGCTTAGAGTTCACTCCAGATGCAATGTGGCAGTTTAAAATTTCAATGAACACTCTGTCTAACATATAAAGAGGGATGCTACAGCTGAATTGCAAGCAATGAATCATAGATGAAGTCACAATGCTTATATAATATAAATATAATTGGGAGAATGAGAAGAACTTTGGAGGAGTAACAGTTTTCTTTGTTGGAGACTGACTTTGAATTTTATACGTCATACTACTTAATATTTACCGCCTGGCATGGCCTGGTGTCTAAGGCGATCGACTCGGAATATGAGGGTCGCTGGTTTGAATTTCCATCATCGAACATGCTTGCTCTTTCAGCTGTGAGGGCGTAATAATGTAACAGTCAATCTCGCTGTTTTTTTGTAAAAGAGTAGCCCAAGAGTTGGCGGGAGTGGTGTTGATAGCTGCCTTCCCTCTCTCTCTACTCTATCACTAGTAAATTAGGGACGACTAGCGCAGATAGCCCTCGTGTAGCTTTGATAGTCGTTATGAAATAAAGATCATTAACCATGTTTTGATTACTATATCGTGTTACTTCAGTTACCTTTTCCAGCCCTTCCCTGTTTTACAAGCTTTTCCTTGTCAGGCCTTAGTGTGAGTCCCTTTGAGAAAGCAGCATTGCATGAGGAGTACTCGCAGATGAAGCCAATTAGTATAGCTAATGATTATTGTTAAACTTTGAATGAGCCTCTTTCTGAGGCTATTTAATTAATTGTAAATTATTCTATTGCAGGAACTTTGAAGGTATTTGTTTCTCATGTTATTGAATTATATGTAGAAATTTTAGTCATTATTTTTTATTGTAGGAACCTTGCTTCTCTCATTTTCAGTTATGTTTAACTATATGTAAACCCCCATTATAACTCCAGTTCCCGGCTAAATGGGAACTGGAGTAATATGAATTGGGTTCCTGGCAACTGGAGCGATGGAAATGTAGATATGAATGGTGAGAAATGGATCAAAAGGAGATGCAATTGAAAGTATGGAATATGAATATACATATCTCCAACCTACAAGTTGAAAATTTTATTACCGTTTATACAAATCAATTTTATAACCATTTATACAAATCAATTTTATAACCATTTATACAAATCAATTTTATAACCATTTATACAAATCAATACCATTCTATATTGAAAAAGAAAGGAACGTGATCTATTGCCTCCAGTGAATGCCTCGAGACACACGTTTCCTCCAATGTGAGGTTTTTCTTGGCCGGTCATTCACAACTTCTCGCTGGTAATGAAAACTCAAAATGTAATTTTTTATGTACAATATTATGCTTCTATGATTACTCAATTTATTTTTGTATTGAAATATTTGTTTCCACATTTTATATTCATTGAATGTAAGTTTGTTACTACACAACTGGATATGTGCATGAAGTAAGATATATATAACAATTTTTCAACTATTTTCCTGTAATTAATGAAGTATTATTAACTATCATAGACAAATCAAATGCATCTCTCAATGAAATTATTGTAAATGAAAATATCTTTTCTGTGTACATAGTAATAGAGTGCCTACATATCAACCTAAACAGGTTTATGTATACATAGGCACAAACCCCAGTACAGATGTAGCCTTAAATAAAACAAAACAATGAGATCCTTTTCTATAAAATCAATAAATGAATCATATAAATGATTCATTAATTTTCATAAACTTCTCACCGTGCATTGCACGGATACATGTGCTAATACTAATAATTTTATCTTGAGGAGAAGTAAACGCTATTTTTTTTCATCCAGATGGACCAATGTCTATTTAGGAGATAGATTTCAGGAAACGGGATTTCTGAAATACAAGCAACATAGCGGGAGTCTTACATCATCGACTAAGGAAGAAGATTTTACTGTAGTTCTTAGGCAAATGATGAATAGTCCTAAGAAATATTATCCAAAATTAAGTCCAGAAACTGACGTATACTCCAGACATCCGTCCTCAATTTGTCTAATAATTGTATGGAGATGGTATTGGTGTGAGGGTAGATCTTGTTGAATCTATAGGATTGATATACGATCCACTGCTTCAGTGGTGGGGTGTATTTTTAAAATAAATAAGAAAAACAAAACTTTTGGTAGTAGGCAGAAGCAAATCAAGTACAGACTCATACGCGAGTCATGAAGTGTGTTGTTGGATGCTATCTGGCTGGCCCTTCCTTTTTCAATGATAACATCAATGGTTAACTTATCTTCTAAACGATTAATTTTATTCTGCCAGCAGCAGAAAGATATTCCACTGGCCGATTATATCAGAGGGTGCTTCTAATCATGAAAAACATAAGAACAAACAACAAGAAAATTTGAACTGGCTCTCCAAAGTTAATGTCTCAGGCGAACTTAGGTGTGGTTGTAAAAATATCATTTCTTATGGGGCAACTGTTGGCCCAGTCTGTGTCCATATATATATATATATAAAGTTGTCTCTCTGTCTGTCTAGGATCTTAACGTCACAAGTTCGTGTGAAGAGCGAGCTGAACCAATTTCGATAAGATCTGGTAGAACTCAAGTGATCCCCCCCCAAAAAAAAACTACTTTAAATAGGTAAGCAATCGGACGAGCGGTTCAAACTTGGCAGCAATTTGAATTTTGACATGAGCAGCATGGATTTTTATACTGACCATCGGTATTCAGTAGATCTACATAATGACTGACGTACATGCAAGTCGTTCTGCCATCCCCGTGAAGCAAACTAAATAAATAGTGCATGAGGCGCGAGTTGATTTGTGAGTACTATATGAGAGAGTTTTAGGATTATTATAGTTAAACAAATCTTCTGAAAAACGACTAAGAGCATTTATTAAACTTGTGTTATTGGGTCTACAAATCAATGTAGAAAATATCTGTAAATTGTAGAGCTAAAACTGAACACTGTTTCAAATACTAGCAGACAGAGAAATAGTGTAACCTTTAACCTTTGTTTGTTTGTTTGTTATTAAGCACAAAGCTATACAATTAGGCTATCTTTGCTGTGCCCACCGCGAGTGTCGAAACACGACTTTGAGTGTTATAAGCCCTCAGACTTACCTGAGCCACCGAGAGATAGTGTAACGTTAGATATTTTTGTCAGAAGTATTATAATATAAGTTTTTAAACAGCATTGTTATGATAATCTAAAGTAGATATGACACCTTAATAGCTTAAGATATTCCAAAGATAACTGTTGAAACAAAAACAACATTCATTGAAGTAATTTTAATGCTTCATAAAATTAAGTTAAACTCTGAAGAACCGAAAATCGATACTTAATTAGATAAATTTAAACAGTTTTGTTTCGTTTGAAGCACACTTAGCTAAGTGAGACCATAAAATTACTTACCTTCTCCCATTGAACTGTAAGTAGAAGTTTCAACTTACTTAATACATGAGCTTTCAAGACGGTGATTTATATTGTCGTATAGCCTTATTTTTCATGTTTGCTCTAATTATTGTCACTAGTACATTTAAAGAAGTTTCGATATACATTTAGCGCCAAAATTGCTTGCATAAAAAATAAATAAATCACTTCACATTCAATTGCATTTCCTTTACGATAACAGCGGATACATCAACAACAGTAACTGTATTTCGAGACAATTAGTTTGCTTTTTTCCTTCTTATTAAACATGCACTTTCAATTCACTAAGTGTTTTCGACTGTTATTGGTGGAGTACATAATAATTTAGCAGCTCTTGTATTCACTGATGGTCCAAAGCTATTAACACTAAAAGCACTTGAAGTGGAATAAATTGTTTAGTTTAAAAGAAAGACAAACTATGTACGTTTACTGGTGCAGCTTATGAGCATTCATTATCACACAAA